TCTACTTCATTCTCATAAAGCTCTTGTACCAGCAATTATGCAATGATATGCATGGAAAAATAGCTCTCATCTTTGTTTTTTTGTTTTTTTACCTTTCAACCCCCTTTCTTCCACTCGCGACCCCCTGCCTCTGGCAACCACCAATCTGTGTGTGTGTGTGTGTGTGTGTGTGTGTGTTTTAGGATTCTGCATATAAGTGAGATCATTTGCTATTTGTCTTTCTCTGTCCGGCTTATTTCACTCAGCATAATGCCCTCGAGGTCAATCCATGTCATTGTAAATGGCAAGATTCCATTCTTTTTAATGGCTGAGTAATATTTCACAGCATATTTATACCACCTCTTCTTTATCCATTCGTCAATGGACACTTAGGTGGTTCCCATGTCTTGGCTATTGTAAATAATGCTGCAGTGAACATGAGTATGTTGTGTGTGTGTGTGTGTGTGTGTGTGTGTGTATTTCAAAGTTAGTGTCTTTATTTTCTTTGGATAGATACTCAGAAGTGGGATTGCTGGATCATAGGATAGTTCCATTTTTAATTTTTTGAGGCATCTCCATACTGTTTTTCATAGCGGCCCTACCAGTTTATACCCCCACCCATAGTATACAAGGGTGCCCTTTTTTTCACATCTGCACCAGCTCTTGTGTTCTCTTTATTGTGATGGCCATTCTGAGTGCTGTGAGGTGAAAGCTTACTGTGGTTTCCATTTGCATTTCCCTGCTGATTAATGATGTTGAGCATCTTTTCATGTACCTGTTGGCCACCTGTATGTCTTCTTTGGGAAAATGTCTGTTGAGATCTTCTGCCCATCTTTTAATTGGATTGGTTTTTTTTTTTTGGCCATGGAGTTGTATGAAGGCTTTATGTATTGGATAATAGCCCCGTTGGGTATGTGATTTGCAGATATTTTCTCCCCGTTCAGTAGACTTTCATTTTGCTGATGGTTTCTTTTGCTGTGCTCAAGCATTTTAGTAGGATGTAGTCATGCTTTCTTTTAACTGCATAGATTTCTTCCTTTCTTTAAAGTTTATTTATTTATTTTGAGAGAGAGAGAGAGAGAGCATGAGCAGAGGATAGACAGAGAGAGGGAGAGAGAGAGAGAATCCCAAGCAGGCTCCAAGCTGTCAGCCCAGAGCCTGAACTTGATTTAAACTCACGAACCAAGAGATCATGACCTGAGCTGAAACCAAGAGTCAGACGCCTAACTGACCCAGCCACCCAGGCACCCCACCCCACTTACTTATTTTTATCTTTGTTGCAAAAATATTCTTAATGTTTTACTACTCCAGTGAAGGAATGAAAAAATATTTTCTTTTAATACCTCCCCCCTTTATGACCAAAAAAGTATTTGAATTTAAATCCAGCAATGGCCCATGGAAAGAGCCTCTTAGGGGCGCCCAGGTGGCTCAGTCCAGTTAAGTGTCCGACTTGGGCTCAGGTCATGATCTAGCGGTTCGTGGGTTCGAGCCCCATGTTGGATTCTGTGCAGGCAGCTCAGAGCCTGGAGCCTGTTTCAGATTCTGTGTCTCCCTCTCTCTCTGCCCCTCCCCTGCTCATGCTCTATCTCTCTCTGTTTCAAAAATAAATAAAAATAATTTTAAAAATTTATTTAAAAAAGCCTCTTCGTGTTTATTTGGGGCATGGAGGGGGCACTGCTCACCTTTCCACCTTTTGTTAGTTTACAGGTCATGCTGCATCCAGAAGGAAAGGCCCCTATTCTTCCCTAGTTTGGAAACCTGTAAGAGCAAATTCACTATTTTAAAGTGTTACTTGTTTTTCAGCGCAAGGTTTAAAAACGGCTCACCACTTGAACTTTGGTAAAGCTGTAGCCTTTTTAGCGTTCGGAAGGAACTGGACAAACCTCGGGGGAAATCTAGAGTGATCACAGCTTTCATGCGTAGTATATGTATTGGGTATCTTTTAAAAATATAGCTTCTCTTCTCTGAAACTGAATGAGGATAAAACCTTCCTGTTTCCAAGTTGTAGAGAACAGTGGTGAGGATGGCAGAAAGTGTAGACTTGTTGAGTCACTACGCTGTATACCTCAACTAATGTAACAGTTATCGTTGTACTCCCATACAGTGGACTACTATAGAACCATTTAAAATTTTTTTTTTAATTTATTTCTAGGAGAGAGAGAGAGACAGCGTGAGCAGGGGAGGGTCAGAGAGAGAGGGAGTCACAGACTCCGAAACAGGCTCCAGGCTCTGAGCTGGCAGTCAGCACAGAGCCCGACGCGGGGCTCGAACCCACGAACCGCGAGATCATGACCTAAGCGAAAGTCGGACGCTTAACCGACTAAGCCACCCAGGCGCCCCTACTATAGAACCATTTAAAAACGAGGCAGTTCTGGGGCGTCTGGGTGGCTCCGTCAGTTGAGTGTCTGACTTGATTTCAGCTCAAGTCAGGATCTTGCAGTTCGTGGCATCGAGACCTGTGTTGGGCTCCTCACTGAGTATGCAGCCTGCTTGGGATTTCTCTCTTCCTCAAAATAAATGAATAAACATTTTTAAAAATGAGTCTGCTCTGTATATACCAATATGGAATGGTCCCCCAAATAAATTGTTAAGTATAAAAAAACTGTGAAGAATATTATGATTGTACCATAGAAAGTACATATCAGAAACTTGTGTGGAATAAATAAATGATCTTCTAAAGTATGTTTGGTATATACTCTATACTAAATCCTAATACACGGACACATAATTATATTTTATTGTATTTCTGTAACGTAATATCCTTTTGTTTTTTGCTTATTGAGTTAATATATTGTTAAAGATTTGATTATGTTACAGATCTTAATTATGTTGAAATGATTACAAATGAGGCATCTTCCATCTGTTTTTTTTTTTAATGTTTGTTTATTTTTGTGAGAGAGAGAGAGAGAGACAGTAGCTGTGCTTGTGTGCGAGCTCAGAAGGGGCAGAGAGAGAGGGGGACAGAGGATCTGAAGCATGGATCGGATATTAGGCTCATTGGATATATGATTTGCAGATATTTTCTCCCCATTCAGTAGGCTGCCTTTTCATTTTGTTGATGGTTTCCTTTGCCGTGCTCAAACATTTTAGTAGGATGTAGTCCCACTTCTTTTTGTTTTTGTTGCAAAGATATTCTTAATGTCTTACTACTCCAGCGAAAATGTTTGTCAGTTTGACTACTCCGAGCTGTCAGCACAGAGCCTGATGCGGGCCTCAAACTCCCCAACCGTGAGATCATGACCTGAGCCCAAAAGCCCAAAGTCGGACGCCTAACTGACTGAGCCACCCAGGCGCCCCTCATCTGTGTTTATTTTTCCCAATAAATCATTTTGCTGAATGAGAGCCAGTTTATCAGTTCTGCTAAAGGTACGGAGCCGGTGGCCAGCTCATCTGTATTTATTGCATTTGTGGTAACATTTAAAATGTGTTTTGAACAGTACATGTGCCAATGTTTCTGACTACCATAGTAGTGTGAGCTCTTGAATAAAAATAGGAAAAACGAGACGACTGAGGCACCCATTACCCTCCTGAGTGTAGCTGATGAAGATACTTGGGGTTCACTACTCTTTGGCTTCTTAGGTAGGAAAAGAATATTCTGAAGGAAAAGAATATCTGAAGCATGATGAAGAAATGGTTACCATGACGATCACATTTCAGAGACTTTAGAGGAGACTGTGAATCTGTGGGGCTCATCCATTTTGATTGATTCAGCTGGTCTTTTAGTTTCATTCAGATGGCTCCCATCTCTGGATTTTATTTTTCCACATAAGTCACCCAGTTGATCGGTGGCTTAGGGATCGTGTAAGCTTGGCCGTCAGTAATGATAGGGTCACCAGGGTCTGTGGCCACGATACTATTGCCAGACCTGCACAAGGATGATTGTGTACGTTAAATGTCACTGGAACGTAGCTCCTGGCTTTTTCTGCAGACACACAAAAGGTTTGTCCGATTTCACTTATTCTATCGGTGCGATAAGATTAACATGATTTATTTTAAAGCCTGGCTGACCCTACAGTATTTGGGTTTTACTTTGCTGCCATCATATTTTACCCAGTGTGTTTGGCTGCTGTTTGGTTTTTATACTTTGACGTGTGCATAATCGTAGTTTGTACTACGTCTGGTCAGAGGCACGGTCCCGTGTGCACAACTCTACCTCCCAGCCCCAACTTAATGTTAAGTGTGACATGCTAGCACAGACAGGAAAATGAAGTGGAGCTACAAATGCTGTTGTGAGCTCTGTCTCCCTGTACGTTTTTATCACCCTTGGTCGTCTGGTTCCTGATGGTGAAAGCATAAACTGTGGAGCCGAACTTGGCAGAGCCCCGGGTCTGACCCTGGTGTGTGAGCTCAGCCCCCTCAGCCTTTGGGCCTTTCTCTCTTCTGCCCTCTGGGGGGTGTCTGGGGACATGACATGCAAGGATTGCCGACGCAAAGGAGAGCCCCAGGGCCTGGGCATTGGTTACTCGAGGACAGGCCTCTTGCCCGTCCACCCCGGGCCCTCGAAACCTGAACTTGTAAAGGTGGGGAGCAGACAGGGAATGCCCGAAAGGCACCGACGGGGTTGGGCTGTTAAGGAGGATGCGATTCCGAGTCTTTAAGTACAGAACCGATTCCTTCAAGTAGAGCCCAGTGTGTATTGGACCCCATCTCTGGGAAAAATCAATTCCAGAAGGGTGAGTGAAGTGAAATAATATGTTAAGGCTAGTGTGTGGCGGATTCAGGTTTGAAGGTTAAACTGGATTCAGTCTAAACGGGTGCAGTTGATGCCAAGGTTTCGTGACAGCACGTGACCTCCTTATCCAAGTGTGAGAACGCTTCTACTCTGCACCTGTGACGGTAAGAGGGATCCCTGCGTCTCCCTCCCGCCTGGGGGGTCCCTGTTACATGTGGGGCCCTGGGAAGTGCTTTGCATGCCCTGCCCCCTTGCTACCTCATAGCCTCTGTGAAGTAGCTTACCATTGTGAGGCCCGGCTAACATAAGGCAGGGCCAGTGTTCGAGCCCAGGCAGTGTGAGTCTGGCACCCTTGCTGGGAACAGCTGTGCCATGCTGCATTCTCACCACGGTTACGTGCCAGGGTGCGGTACCTTCTAGAAACAGTGAGTTCCGTGTGGATGGGTTGTGGGTAGTGGGAAAAGAGATCGGGTAAAGCCTGTTTAGGTGTCCGCGCCGTGCTAAGTACTGTCAGGGAAGAAAGGCGGGGTTTCTGTCCCTGCCACCCAGACAACGACACTCTAAGTTCTGTAGAACAAATGACACATAGCATGAAACAAATAATATGTATTTGTGTGGCAGAATCTGAAAATATTATCTCTAGTTAACGAGAGGTGGGAAGAGGACTAGAAGGTGTTTCTTTTAAATCTGTCACTTTCAGACATTTGCCTTTGAAAGTTAGCTCTTCGCTGCGGGCACAGAGTCCCCTCCTCTGGGCTTTGGATCTGACAGGCAAGAACCCGTCCCTGTGGTCAGCAGACTGGTCCATTTTGAGGTCAGAAGGGTTGTCTTCAACATGACAGGTGTCATTAAGATCTCTAAAGAGATGAACCCATTAGCCTATTGAACTAACTGGACCAGCGATTTATTTTCCAGGATGTCACCATTTAAAAAAATCTCTAACCCCCTCCTGTTGGGCGATCAGCCTGGAAACGGTTGCCTGGGGGCGGGAGGGGGGCACTTATGAGCCTGGTTAGAATCCATGGTTTAAGTTTGCCCTGATTCTCGCTCCATAGATGGTTCTCGAGAGGGTCCCAGTGTGGCACAGGCACTGTTCTGGGCATGAGGTTAGAGCAGTGAACAGAACAGATGGGGGCCTTCCTCACAGGGAGTGGTCTTTTCCTCCTATTTCATTTGCTCATGTACATTTCACAGCTGATATAAAAGTGCTCTTGGTAGAAGTTTCCGGATTTCACACGCCTCCTTTCTCCTTAGCCCCAGCCAGCCCTTTGAATAAGGGGGGTGGGTAAGGCAGTGAGATGCCTCTGGGGAGGTCTCAAGGGCGCGAGGAGGGCAGCATCCGGGGACTGTCCCTGCTTGGGTGATGGGAACGGCACAGGGCACACCTGTTTCCCGGTGTTGCTGAGCCCTCCGCCCCAGGCAGGCGGGGATGAGCCCGTGAGCCCGCCCGCATCCCAATGCCGTTGTTGATTGGCGATAACTTCAGTGGTCACACAGCACGGCACCTCGTCTCCATGGAAACACCTCTAAATATTCCTCTGGTGACTTGTGCTCTACATTCTGCCTGGATCTGAGCCCTCCTGTGGCAAAATATTCTAAAGATGTTAAAAGGTGGGGGGAGGCTCAACTAATAAATCTATTCTAAACGACTGAGTCATTTGTTTTGATTACCCGGGTGATTGCCAAATGTTAATTTAAAACTGAAATAGGCCATGAGCTCACTGTGCTAACAATGCTGAGTGTTTGAGCTAACACAGCCTGACGATGAGGGCCAGACCCAGCGCCAGTGCAAATGGTACACGATAAGCAGGCATCGGGGAAGGATGCAGAACATCTTGGCGCTTTAACTTTTAAGGGTTGTAAATATCAAGTAGAATGTGTTACCGTGAGGCATTTCAAAGGAGCTCGGCTGGGGGGAGGAGGTTGTTTTGTTTTTTGTGTTTTTTTTTTTTTTTTAATTTCTAAACTTTTTTTCTGGAGAGGTAACTTTGCATCTCGCTTCTCGTTTTTTCCTAACTTAGGCACATTGGAAGTCGCCCACTGTGTCCAGCCCTTGCTGAATACCTCCCAGTCTCCACGCATCCAGTGTGAGGTAAGTCTGACCAATGGCCACAAATTCGGACACTGACCTTCAGCCTCCCAGTTAGTGGTGTTGGGGTTGACCTTGTAAAAGAAAAAAAAAAAGCTTTATTTGTACAGTAGATTGAACAGGATTCATTTTAGTTGACCCAACAAATCTCTCTGCTTATCCTAAATATCAGCTTTCAAGGGGAAAATGTCTTTTCAAGGGGAAAAACAAATCTCATGTGCTTTTAATTGGGGGGCATGAAAAGTGAATGTGCCAAGCACAACAGAACTGTTAGAAGGCCTGCCTGAAAATACAGATGTGTTCATGCCCCGGCGTGAACAGTAGGGAGCAGGAAAGCCACGCCGAGCAGTCCTGGCATCGAGCGAGGAGAGGAGGCCAGCGGGGGGAAGGTGGGGCTGATCCAATCAGCTGTCAGGGATCTTTGTGCAAGATCTGGGGTAGGAGCTCCAGGGAGGGCTTCCGTTGGGTTATGCCATCGAGGGCCAGCATATTGGTTTCAGATCAGAATCGATGTTCAGGGCACAGCGGCGCCGGTGTGAACAGCCAGATGGAGAAACCCTTTCGTTTAGCGGACAGTGTGGACAGGCGGCCTCGGGCTTCATTTAGCCACAGGGTTTATGTACGCTCTGTGATGATGATTGAGGGTTACGCAGTGCTCTCCTTGAGAGATGGGACACTTCACTTTGCAGATCTCAAACTTGGTTCGTCCAGGCACGGTGTAAGGGGCCCCAGTCTTGGGGCTTTCTGTGCCCTGCCCTGCACACGTTTTTGGGAGAGGAGGTGACATTTGCCCGAAGCAGACCACTCCAGATTCGCACTTCTCTCCGTCAAAAGCTTGCTGCATGTTTGTTTATGCCCCCCTGCCCCAACCCCTGCTTTCGTGCTCAGTCTCACATTCGGTGAGGGTTGTTGTTTTCTGTTAGGGCAGATGGTCACGGAGCTGGCCAAAGTTGTCTCCAGTTGCTTCATACATATTAAAATACATATAGTTCTACCTTAAAGAATAAAAAACCAAAATAAGACAGACTTGGAGAAGTGTTTGATCTGAATTTTGTCAGTTTCCTTGATGGCGTGGAAGCTGGAAGGTCTTCCCAGGGCCTGGGGTTCAAACCGGCCCGGACACCAAAGCCTCCACAGGCTCTCAGCTGCGAGCGATCTGCTCGGCCAGCTTGGGGGAAGCCCTGCGCTGCTGTCATTCATGGCCTTTACCTAAAGTGGTTGTTTTCAGACTTTAAAAAAAAAGAAATTTTTTTTTACAGTTATTTATTTTTGAGACAGTGAGACAGAGTGTGAGCAGGGGAGGGGCAGAGAGAGAGAAGGAGACACAGCATCCGAAGCAGGCTCCAGGCTCTGAGCAAGCGTTCGGCACAGAGCCTGACACGGAGCTCGAACCCACGAATTGTGAGGTCATGACCTGAGCTGAAGTCGGATGCTTAACCAACTGAGCCTCCCAGGTGCCACAGAGATTTTTATTTTTTTTAATGATAGAAACCTGTCTTCAAATAAAATCTTAGGTCTTCCCCCACCAGAGCAGAACTGTGACTCTCATCATCCTCTGAGGAACCCGAGGGCAGCTTGCCTGTATTTCCCCACAGCAGTAGAGACTAGACTGTGTAACGAGGTCCACCGAGGGGCTGGCCTGTCAATGTGGTTGAAAATGCTGGCTAGGTGGTTTGCCCTTAGCCATCTACAACTTTGGTACGCTTCATCGGGAGAAAACTGATGGAAGCTATGTGTGTTCTTAAAATGAAACATTTTAATGGAAGGTTTTTGAATACGTATTTGAAGTGGTTTTGAGATATTAAACCACCCCAGTGACATCTTTTATTTGACCCAAGCTTAGCATCTTTGGGTTTCCTTTAAAAGGTTTTTAAGTTTATTTCTTTTGAGAGACAGAACAGAGGAGGGGCAGAGAGCGAGGGAGAGCAAGAATCCCAGGCAGGCTCTGTGCTGTCAATGTGGAGCCCGATGTGGGGCCCGAACTCGCAAACTGTGAGATCATGACCTGAGCCGAAGCCAAAAGTCAGACGTTTAACCGACTGAGCCACCCAGGCGCCCCACTTGGGTTTCCCTTTAGAGCATTGAATTTCTCGGGTGACTTGATCAAATCTGTTAAATTCTGTTGGACTGTGACAGAAATCGATAGGATTGACATGAAACCATTCCACAGTCACAACGCGGTTGTGTCTTGTCATCTTTCTTCATTTTTCTTACTGATGTATTCATTCATTCAGCCCCACTACGTGTTAGGCCAGGGACGTAGGCTCAAGCAAAAGAAAAAGAATCATCCATTTTCATCTTGATCTTCTTCAACTAGGGGACCTCCCTAGACGATTTTCCTTTTTGCAGATGGAGAAACAAAGCCGATTTTCCTTTTTAAATTAAATCGCCCAGTATTGAGTAGGCCCGGATGGGTTCAGGGGTGCAGTCCAAAGTCCCTGTCTCCAGTCTGGTCTCTGAGCCTGTGATGCTGGTCCCCCCAGACAGGCATGGGCAAATAATGGAGTAGACGGGCAGTGCCTGGAGCCCAGATGCCCCCAAAGTGAAAGCAAATGTAAATCGTGTGTTTCGTACTCTGGTTTGGAAGTTTGCTGACATGCAATTGAATGGTTTAGGAAAATGGACTTTGCAGTTTTCACATGAGAATATTTTGGTTTTTTAAATGATAAAAACTTTGTTTTCAAGAACTTGAAGTTATCCCACTTGGCCACGTTTTTGTTATGGAATCGTATGGAATGAAAACATTTTTTAAATGTTTTATTTATATTTGACTTAATGTTTATATATATATATATATTTTAATTTTTTTAATGTTTTATTTATTTCTGAGAGAGAGAGAGAGACACAGCATGAGCAGGGGAGGGTCAGAGAGAGAGGGAGACACCGAATCCGAAACAGGCTCCAGGCTCTGAGCTGGCAGTCAGTACAGAGCCCAACGCGGGGCTCGAACCCACGAACCATGAGACCATGACCTGAGCCGAAGTGGGACGCTTAACTGACTGAGCCACCCAGGCACCCCTATATATATTGTTTATTTATATTTGAGAGAGGGAGACAAAGTGTAAGTGGGGGAGGGGCAGAGAGAGAGAGAGAGGGAGACACAGAATCTGAAGCAGGCTCCAGGCTCTGAGCTGTCAGCATAGAGCCTGAAGCAGGGCTTGAACCTATGAACTGCGAGATCATGACCTGAGCTGAAGTCGGATGCTTAACCTACTGAGTCATCCAGGCACCCTGGAACAAAATGTTGAACCCAACATAATTCTTTTTTTTTTTTTGCTCTTTTTAAAGTTTTCATTCATTCATTCATTCATTCATTCATTCATTCAAATAAACTCTACACACAACATGGGGCTCGAACTCCCAACCCTGAGATCAAGGGTGGCACACTTCTCCAACTGAGGCCACCAGGAGCCCTGAACCCAACATAATTCTTAACATACACGAGCTGGGTGCTCTGTGTATTTGTTTCTGTAGGAGCAGCAATGTTGTTAATTAAGAATTAAACATGTATTTCACATTGAAGAAATATTTGTATCACTAACATATGGTCACTTTAATTATTGATTTGGCAGTTTTTAATATTCACAGAACATAAATTTAAAATATAGTAGGCATAGTGATTTGGTTTGTACCATTTATATCGACGTGACCTCTCTTCTTGGTAAACCAGCAAGCAAGCGTGAAAATGAGCACAGATGGCTTACACAAGCTTAAAGAATTTGGAAACTATCAGTCCAGAGCCAAGGTCTCAAACTGGTGGGCTGAATCTGGCACACAGGGGTGTTCTTTTAAAATTTTAAGTGAGTTGCCAGCATTTAAAATTTGAGAGATTTCACATGTTTAAAAAAAAAAATCCAGATTTTCAGCTTCTCTTGAAATATCAGAAGATCTGGCAACACCGAGTCTGCATTCCTTTTGGGCAATACGAGGCTGAATAGCCAGATAGCTGCCGTGTCTTCAGCTGGAGCATGAACTCTGAAATTTGCCAGAGTCCCTACCACTCTCTTACCTCCTTGGTCCAGGGACAGGGGTCCTTTATCTGAATGTTGAACGTGGCCATTATCTGAATGTGTTCCTCATTTTTTTAAAGACCTGCTTGGCTCTTACAGGCAAGCAAGTTTTCAACCTCAGGCCTAAGTGAAACTGAGGCTACCAACTTAGAGCTATCCTTTCTCCCAAAATACTAGCTTATAATTTTCAGGTATGTGGTGTTGGGTGATACCCATTTTAATTTAAGGGCGTGCATTAAAAGGGTTGAGAGCGCCTGGCTGGTTCAGTCAGTAGAGCGTCCGACTCTTGATCTTGGGGTCGTGAGTTCGAGCCCCATATTGACTGTAGAGATTTAAAAAAAAAAAAAAAACAGAGTTGAGGGTTGAGAAGAGACATACCTTGTGATGGTGTCTGAATAGGAGAAAGGGTATCAGCAGAATTTGGCAGGCTCCTGGGGTCCGCCCCCGTGTTTCATCAGACTTGCACGGGTGGGTTCTAACACAGGAAGGATGTCTGGAGTTGGGCCTGAGATTACATAACTCCAGTGAGCCCCAGATTGTACCGCTGCTAGTCCAAGGACCTGTTTCCCTTTGAGTAGCAAGGGGACTCCACCTTAAAGCAATCCTTCTAAGAAAAAGGAGTCCTGCAGGGATGTTTTGACGTATCTTTATCTTTGGCCTAAGAAAGAAAAGGAGATCAAATCTTCATAGATAAATCTGAGTTCACTTCTCATTGCAGTAGAAGAAGTTTAAAAAGTCAATTAAAAATTTTTTGCAATGTTTATTTTTGAGAGAGAGGGAGACACACACATACACAGAGCATGAGTGGGGGAGGTCAGAGAGAGAGAGGGAGACACAGAATCTGAAATAGGCTTCAGGCTCTGAGCTGTCCACATAGAGCCTGATGTGGGGCTCAAACTCCTGAACCGTGAGGTCATGACCTGAGCCAAAGTCAGATGCTTAAATGACTGGGCCACCCAGGTGCCCCTAAAAAGTCAGTTATTTTTGAAACTG